AAAGGAGTTCAAATTGGACTTATTTGGTCAGGGTTAAATTGTATAAGTTGTGATTTTGGGTTGTTATTATTGGAATCTTTTTTTTTTTTTTGACCAGGACTGTAAGATAAAGATTTAAAGATTTTTTTCATATAAGGATAAACTTTCTATGTCCTACTTGTTAGAGAAAGTTATAGGTTAGAATGTAAAAGGGATCTATTTGATTTAGCTTAAGATATATATGTTACTATCATTGGTATTTTTATGCCTATGGGGATAAATCTTTTATGTTTTACTTATTAGAGGAAGTTATAAGTCAAAATGAATAATGGATTTATTTGTCTAAGGTTAAAATATATAGGTTAGTATTACTGATACTCTTAATGCTTTTGCTGAGTAATATTGATGATTTTTTTATAATTTGGCTATTGTTAAAGAATGAGAAGCAGGAAGAAGAGTTTTTTTTTCCCTGTAATACTAGAGAAGGTGTTAAATTACTGCAAATATTTATACTTGTTTGGAGGGAAGGGGAAGTCACTTTTTATATGTCTTTCTTTCCTTTCCTTTTCTTTCTCCTTCTTCTTCTCTCTTTTTTGTCTGTATACCTTTTTTAGTCCTGTATTAGCTTTAATCTGTGTAAAAATTTAATAAAAATATTAACAAGTTCTACAATGGCAGAATCAAGACTTGGAACATATCTAAATTAAATCTGCAGGGATCTCAGAGTGATTTTGCAGAGTGAATTGAGGCAGTGCAGAGTAATTTTGCAGGGTGAACGAGGAAGTCCCTACCTTCAGCCACCATCCATATCCCACATTTTCCACATCCCTAATATTATTTCAATACATTCATCTATATTCCACATATTTAAACTGAGCAGAAAGGGCTGCCCTTTACATATTTTATGCTTACCTGCCTCTCACAATGTTTTCTTGAAGAAGTTCATGTATAATATTTTCAATGTTTGAAACATTCACCTTGTTGATGAGACCATTGATGGATTTCTTCAGTGCTTCCCAACTCATTTTATGCTTACCTGCCTCTCACAATGTTTTCTTGAAGAAGTTCATGTATAATATTTTCAATGTTTGAAACATTCACCTTGTTGATGAGACCATTGATGGATTTCTTCAGTGCTTCCCAACTCATTTTATGCTTACCTGCCTCTCACAATGTTTTCTTGAAGAAGTTCATGTATAATATTTTCAATGTTTGAAACATTCACCTTGTTGATGAGACCATTGATGGATTTCTTCAGTGCTTCCCAACTCATTCTTTGATAGGCTAAGCTGTTTTCAAAATATACAAATTTACTAATCGGCAAAAAGCAAAGAACTAGAGAAAAAGGTATAGTTTAGTCAGCTGGAGCACTAAACTTGGTGACGCATCAGTCTTCTCTCACTTCTGTTTTATAAAAGCAAAATATTTTAAGAAGAGCTACTACACCAAGCAACATTGTTAATGAACACTAAACAGTGATTTGGATTTTGAAAAAAAAGGTATTATCAACCACCATAAGCAGACAAAATCAGGAAGGACAATGCTAGCTTCAGATTTTATCTCACCCAGCAGAAAAATGTGGGCTTCTCATTAAGAAACTATATTCCTACATGAGACTGTCACAATAATAATTATTCAGCTATTTGATCATGAAAAATTGAGACTAGACCCCAATCTCTGAAGCTTTTTCTAAATAAAGCTAAAGCAATTTTACATTTACTTTTCTGATAAGAAAATCCAAAAAGGGCTCCTCCACTTCCACACAACTAGGATTTTTCTGCCACCAGACATGTCAACTTGCACCTTTCTATGTTCCTGGTTCCATGCTTTCTCTATTATTTGAGCACAGTATTAAAAAAAATCAAGTTTTTGTTAATAGACTTTCAGTTAATTTGAAATATAAAAGTTTAATTTAATTTAATGTCTTTAAAATATAATTTAAAATAGAAATATAACATCTTGACATACCTATTTTTATCAGTGATTTGTGCCTGCATCATCCTGAGCTTTGCTGGAGGAATGTATGCACCTCCAGTGCGGGTAAGGATTGGATCCACCTCCTCTTTCTTCTTCTTTGGAGGGGGCTCCTCATGAGAAAGAGAGCCCTGTACTGCTGATTTCTCCATATCATTTTTTCTATCGGGTGACCGGGATTTCCTGTGCTTCTTCCAATCAGATTCTCTCTCTCTTTCCTGTCTTTCTCTCCCTCTGAAATTAGAAAAAAAAATCTACATATTACATGTTCAAAGTATAAAAGAAAAAGAAAATTTTAAATATTATGCCAATAATTAGGATTAATCAGTTCTAAGACTTGTTTTAAGCAAAATCCAAATCAACGAACCCTACAAAAAATTACACAAACACACCAGCAGCTAAACAATGCAAAGTTCAGATTTTTTGGTAACATTTGATATTTACCTTGGTTCTGTATATCTGTCATCGTAATGCCCCTTTCCTGAATGTTCTCTGTCAGGTCTTCTATGTTCCAAGTGACCTTTGCTTTGGGGTGACTGAGACCTCTTACGTTCCATGAACTTATTCCTGGATTAAGGGCAAAACTTGTTAGCAATTATTTTTAAACACATCACAGTATTTGTGGAGAGCCAGCTTGGTGAGGTGGTTAAGGCACCAGGCTACAAACCAGGAGACAGTGCGTTTAGTCCTGCCTTAGGCACAAAGCCAGCTGGGTGACCTTGGGCCAGTCAATCTCTCTCAGCCCTAGGAAGTAGGCAAGGGCAAGCCTACTTCCAAAAAGTGCTGCCAAGAAAACTGCAGGGACTAGTCAGGCAGTTGCAAGGAGTCAACACTGACTTAAAGACATAAATAAGTAAATATATAGTGGGTTGTGTAACTCTGGAAGTCAAATAACTTGTTCCAAATATTCCTCAGCTGTCAACTTTGTATTGCACAGAACAAGGAAAAACCGAGGATAGCTTTACTTTGTAGGCAAAAGTGATAAGACAAAAAATTGATAGTATTTTTAGTAATTAAGCACTGAAGTCTCTGTTTATGTATGTCCTTGAACCACTCCTTGGTTCATCAATTTTACTAAGTGATCATAAATCCTGCACCTAATCTAATCCTTCTCATATTTCCTACTGCTGTCCAAATCCTTTCAAAACAGGTATCATCTTGATTATGACAGGGAAAGAGATGAAGGAATAAAGGACATTCATAAATGGATATTCATATCTAACATATCTAAAGTTCATACACATTTCCCTCTACGGTTTCTATAAAAATATTTGGAAATGGGACTTGAATGGATCAGATTCCTAATGAGGCACCAGATCAGAATGGGCAGAGAAGGAAATGCATTCACACATGATGAATTCATTTCCTTCCTTTCCATTGGCTCCACTCCTAATTGAGTAGGTCTGAAGAGAGATTCTAAATGCATTCAGCTACATTCACTTAACATTTCTCTACAACTGTTATATACTTAGAACAGCATAATTTTCTACTAAGAAGTTCAAGAGAATAACCAATATCTATGGGGACACTGGGAAAACTGTTAGTGCACCTTTAAAAGGTATAAATCTTGGACTGAAGATGTCAACTTGTTAACAGCAAAGTAAGAAACTAAGAGAGAGAAGAGCCGTGTGCAAAAACACTTATTGATCAAAGATCTGATAAAGCACGTACAGGTAAAGTGGTATATGTGTACGTGTGTGTAAGAGAGAAACACACATATCGAGAGACATCCCCAAATTACAGGCAATTATAGCACTGCTTATCTGCATCTTCCTTTGATCAGGAGGGGCAGGACTAACGCTATCAATTCATGCAGTTTTCATGGTTCTTTAGATCAAAGGGACAGAAATGTCCTCCTATATTTACTTCCTTTTCATCAATTATCATAGTTGCCTGAAAGGAAGGCAAATCTAAGTTTAAAATGATTCCTACCCCAAAAACAGTATTAGACTGGGAAAAAAAAAAAGAGATGTGTTTCTTCTACCAGATTCTCAGTAAATCTAAAATGACTAATCCTCTTTTAGGATAACTAAAAGTGTTCTTTCAGGTAAACAATATTTGCCACTTCAGCTAACAATCTGTTTCTCATATTTACAGCTTGCCCATAAAGACCACTATAGAAATGCTTTTTAACATGTAGGGAAATCCTCAAATCTTATAATATAAAAGAAATCCCTTCCCCTCCCCCCTATTACAATGCATTATTATTTATACTGAGTTTTCACTGCATTCCTTACAAAAAGAAAAACATTTTACCTGTCTTCTGGGGAGGCACTTCTTTGGCGAGGATTGTAAGCTCCCTTCCTTTCACAGCTAGATCCAGACTTTAAAACATAAGTGTTTAAATTTCACATAATCAATATAAAATTAGAGAACTGAAATGCAAAAATCTACCAACTCACAAAGAACAAATGTAACCATTTTCACTTGTATCTGTAGCCCCACACTTTACTTGCAGCTCTTACAAAACGTGTTAATGTTGCACTGAGAAACCAGCTATTTTAAGGGCTTGCCTTGCCTTCTTTCGGAAAAATCTATGTCTTTCTATTATTGCATTATATTTTATTGTAAACTCTTTGAGATTCTTTAATGGAAGTGGTATAATAATATAATAAATAATATTACTGTGTTAAATTTTATGCTATTTGTTTTTACTTCATTTTATTATTCTGGTTTATAAAATGTACGGATTGCAACCAACTCTGATATCCTTAAGGTAATCCTTAAGGCTACAAATATTTTCGTAAATAAAATAAAACATTTGACAATATTTGACATCAATAAAATCTGCACAATTAGCTAACTTCCAAGTAGTTACAACTACATAACTGCTCTCAACAAAATATTGATTATATAGCAGACACAATAACATGATCTTAGCCCAACCGCATATACAAGTAAGTATACATTTCTTTTCAGATAGAATTTAGTATTTGGGCTTCAATCATTTCTTGCCTACTTGACTCAAATTGCTTTCCACATGAGACTTCCTTGGAAACATTCATAGATGTAGGGTGAAGTTTGGTGTAGTGGTTAAGGGGCTGGACTAGAAACTGGGAGTTCTAGTCCTCCATTAAGCATGAAAGCATACATTTGCTACATGTACAGTTGTAGAACACATGCTTTTCATGCAAAAAGTCCCAGGTTCAATTCCTATAGTCTCCAGATATGACTGACAAAATTTTGGCTCTTGACAGTCCCTGCCAGTCATCATAGATAACGCTAAGTGAAATGGTCTATAGGCATAGACCTAGCATAGCCCTCCTCCAATACCCTACTCATAGGTTATTACTTGTGGCAGCAAAGAAAGAGTACCAGCAACATTTACTCACATGCCCTCTCTTTAGATTTAAGTGTTCATGAGATGATGATGATGATGAAGAATTAAATTTATATGCTGCCTGACTCCCAGTGACTCTGGGCAGTTTACAAATTGTTAAAAACATTTATAAACAAATAACAATACACAAAACAAAGGTGGCAGAAAAAATAATTGTTCTGGATGGGAACAAGAAAAAGGAAGAAAAAGGGTATCAATCTTCCTCACCAAAGACCTGGGCAAAGAGCCAAAATTTCAGGGCCCTTCAAAGTACCAGTAAGGTGGATTTGCTGGATTCATGAAATTTTCTATAGCAGGAATGATCTGCCACTGGTGCTCCTCCTCCGCCATCCATGTCATAACTCTCGCAAGCAACCCTTAGCTTCTGTATTAAGAGACGGGGGGTTCCTAAAAACTTCCAAAACTTTACAGCCTTTTAATATTAAAGAAAATACTTACATTCATTTGTGCTACTCCACTCTTCATTCCCTCTTCTTCTTCCACTTTAAACTCTGAATTTCTAATGTAAGCGTTTCAAAATCAATGTGGAATTTTATTGTTATTCCTCCAGCAAAAATAGTTCATCTACAGAGAAAACAAATGAGACTTAGCTGACATTGCTAAGACAAAATCAAAGCAGCCATAAACTAATATTGCTGTCAACTATAAAATTGTCTGCTTTGCAGTTAATTAATTTGACTAGTTTAATCCATCCTTATCAGAGTTTTCAGAGTAGCTCTCATACAGCACATGTTCATACACAAGGATTTGCTCATACATGATTGATAAATAAGGGAACAATGTCTGTATAACATGAAACATCTTCACTTTTGCATGAGTTTCCTGAGTTTTAATTTTGCACTATTGAGAAATGGGATGTGAATGTAGCAAGCACTACCCAGCTGAATGCAAAGGCTTGCTGCTTTGTTTTCTGCCACTCCAGTCAGCACATGTGCCATTCATGCACTACTCTGTTAGTGTCTATTGCGCCTCTCTCAGGGGTTTTTTTGGTAATTATTACTGCTTAAATGTGTTTCCCCCTCCCCAACAAATCTCCATACTAACTGAAAAGAATGTGCAAACGAAGCATGCTGGTGATAACATTTCAAGAGGAGAAAGAAAAAGAAAAGCTTTACTGACTGAAGAAAAGTTTGAAAGTCTCAGTGCTTTGAAAGAAACGAAATAACGTGTTTCTGGCCTAAATGAAGTGCCATCACAGATAATCAGAAGAAATGGCAAAAATATAAAAGCAAGTTTTTTTAGCAGGAACAAGGAAAAATCTAGGAAGTCTATTAGAGCAAGACAAAGAATTGGATGAGAAGGAACATCTGTTAAGTGTTTGGATTGAAGATCAGATGAAGAAGATATCAAGGGCAAATTGTCTCATGATAAAAGAGAAACCATTAGCAATATATGAAGACTGCAGGAAAAAAGCTGAAAGTCCCAAAGAAGTGCCTTCCTTTACTGCCAATAGTGGTTGGTTGAATAATTTCAAGAACTGCCGCTCTTTCCACAATGAGAAATTGTCAGGTGAAGCTGTAAGTATAGATGAAGAAGCAGCAAAGGCATTTCCCCAGTAGTAAAAATTTTTTTTTGAGCAACAAGGCTATAACTAGATCAGATTTTCAGTTCTGAAACTGGTCTTTATTGGAAAAAGAATGCCATCACAAACTTATATCTCAAGGTAGGAAAGACGAGCTCCAGGATGCAAGGTTATGATGGATAGACTGACTGTAATGTTGGGAACAAATACAAGTGGTGCCCTGGAACTGAAGCCATCATGCTGCCAATCCCTAAACCTTAAAAGCAATCACAAGGTCTACCCTTGGTGTCTACTTCTCTACCCTTGGTGTACACTACTCTATAGCAAAAAGAGATGGATAACAGGGCAGATCTTCAGTGATTTCTATTCAATGGGTTTAGAAACCACAGCAGGAGCAAAAATTTGGATTTTAAGGTTCTAACCACTTTGGACAATGCACTGAATTATCTTTTGACCCTTGCTGAGCTCTCACCAAATATAAAGTCCTCAACCTCTCTTATCCAGCCCTCAATCAAAGAATTAGTTCTGCCTTTAAACACTATTATTCAAGCTGTACCTTTAAGATGTTGATCACAGTGACTCAAGGTGAGGGTTTTCAAACAGTTCTTGAATTTTGGAAGTGATTCAACATAAAGCATGTAATTTAGATTATTGCCTGGAATGAAGATACAAAACAAAACAAGATACATGGTGTTTGGTGGCTCCTTCTACCTGACTTTATCTGTGATTTTAAAGACTTTGATACTATAAAAGAGCTTCCCAAAATAAAAGCAAATTGTATTGCTCTCACAAAGCAGGTTGGGTTCAATGAAGTGGAGGAAGAGGACTTAGATGAGTGGTTTCAGTCCCATGAAGAAAATTTTTGATAAAAGATCTGCAAAACTTGCTGCTGATGGGTAAGTGGAAGGTGAGGAAGAAAAGTCTAGCAAGCTACTATTAAATCTTCAAAAATCTCCTTCTAAAATCTTCAGTTCTGAGTGAATTTTAGAACACCCCCAATGGCTAGAAGATAACAATTATAATGCAGAAAGGAACAGAATAGTAGTCTATGGAATTCAATCTCATTTGGAGCCATATAGGCAACTTCTTTATGAAAGAAGGAAAATGGCAAAACAACAGATACCAGATGTGTTTTTAAGCAAACAGCCAAGGAGGAGACAGAAGATGTACCACAGCATTTCATACAAAGCCTGCATCCACATCTTCTCCATCTACTAATCATCATCATTTTCCATCATTGTCTCCATTACTCTGCAGCCTCACCCCCTCCTCATATCTTATCCTTCAAGCTGTCATCACTTTTCTTCAAGGTAAGAGTCTAAATTTGCATTATTAAATTATGAATTTAACATGTTTTTCAACTGTGTAAGTACTTTATTATTTATTGCATTATACATCAAGTTGAAATATGTGATCAATTATCATCTCCAGTTAATTTTGTAGGACAATCTCTTAGACTGCATTCTTTTCCAAATAGGACTGTCAGCAAATTCTATGATAGGGACAAACTTTTTTTTTTTTTTTAAAGACTGGAAGGGCCATATTGGCTTTTACAGGGAGCAATGATGGACAGGGTTGTGAGGAGGCAGGACATGTATACTAATCACATCCATTTTCTTTCTTGCTCCATCCTATGTACCCACAGATATGCAAGTTCACAGAGGAAAGGAGAAGAGAGAATTTAAACTCCCCTGCCTTCATTATCTTGATAAAAACTGTTTTTTCCCACTGTTAATGGCAACAGAGAAAGCTCTCATGGGTTGTACAGAGAATGGCCAAGGACTGAATACAACCCAAAAATTGTCCATCTGGGTCCCTGTACCCTATTCTCTTGGCACTTTGGTAGTCTGGGTAATGATTTTGTTACCCAGCCTACCAAAGTGCCAAAAGAAGAGGATACAGGTACCCAGATGGACAATCTTTTTAATACCGTATCCACATTATCTTTCATTTCATGAAATGAATTTCATGAAATATCATTTCATGATATATGGTATTGAAAAGATCAAGCCATACTCCTGATGCTACTTCCTGCAGTATTACAAAGCAGCAAGACTCCATCTAGGGAAAGATTAAAGTGACTAAAGTTAAACAGAAATGTCGCTACAGCATTACAGGAACTGAAGTTACATTTATCTGATTCATTTATAGATCACCCGAAAAGATGGCACAAGAAAGTATACACGTTAAACATGAGTATAAAACCTACAGCCCATGAATATTCTTATGTGGTCCCTATATCCTCTCCTCAGTTTCTGCTGATTTTCAAAAAGTAAGATAAAATTCATTTTAGCGCTTTTAAGAGGTACAGGTAGTCCTCAGTTAATGACCATTTGTTCAGCAACCACTGAACTGTTCACTGTCAAAGTTATGACAGTGCTGAACGAGGAGGCTTATGGCTGGTCCTCGCAATTACAACAGTTGCAGCGTCCCATGGTCACATGATTGCCATTTGCGACCTTCATTGCCAGCTTCCAACAAGCAAAGTCAATAGGGAAGCCAGCAGGAGGTCACAAATGGTGATCATGTGATATTGCACCTAATGACCATATGGCATTCGCGTAATGACCCAACTGGAACTACTGTCATAAGTCAGAGTGGTCAAGGAATGTCACACTTTATGACCGTGTTGCTTAGTGACTGAGTTCCAGGTCCCAATTACTGTTGTTAACTGAGAACTGTCTGTATGGTTGAAGGTGGTGGTGGTGTGTTTGGCGGCGGTGGTGGTCAGTATCCACTTGTGAAACAAAAAGGAATGGGAGGTAAGAAAAATGTGACTAATTTTAGACCTATCTGCTTTCCCTGTTTAAACAGCCTTCCCTACATTTCACAAAAACCTGTGTCCTCAACATACAGCAACTGATACCAACAGAAGCGAATACAGCAACTGAAAATAATAAATCGCCCCACAGTAACCCTTACATCAATAAAACCCAGACAGCTCTCCATTTAACAGAAATCTTAAGGTCGGCCTCATGTTGTCTCGAAGTCTCATGACAAAACAAAAAACCTGAGGACAGCCAAAAACAGTTTCTGTGAACTGGCAAGGCTTTTATCGGATCCCCTTCTCCGTGGAGGACGAGGGAGGGAGGGAGGGAGGGGACGCATAAGAAGCGGAGGGGCTGGGACAGCAATACGCACCTCATGGCACTTCCCACACAACCGGACTTCAGGCGGGGAAAAGGAGATTGCAGTCGCGTTCAGACATGCACACACCTACACGTGTTGGAAGGAAGTAATGAGTCGCTTCCCACGAACACCGGTTCTAAGGAGTTGCGGGTGGTGGGGAAGCTCCTTCGGATCGCCCCGCCAGCCGGGAAGCCAAAGCTCCGGGCACGCTCGTCGCCCATCGCTCCCGCTCCTGCCCTCCTCCCACCCCGGCGATTCTCAGAAAGGAGAAGGAGCAAGAGCCCTGGCTGTGAGAGGACGACGTCAGAAAGCCCACTCCCCGCGGCCTCATAACTTACCTCCGCCACCAAGTTCCACCATAGCATATGCCCGCTTGAAGGAACGACACAATTTCCGCTTACTCGTCCTCCAATTAGAGACAAGACAAAAGGCGGGACTTCCTTTTTTCTCCCTGAATAATAATTGTGTGTATCCACGTGGTCAATGTTGGGAAGGAAGGGGTTAAGAGGACTGTGACTGATGTCACCCAAACAGTGGTTTCTCTCTTAACTAACTGCAGCTTCCGGCATTCTAGGCTACCAAGCACGGATTGACTACATTTCCCAGCGTTCCTTGTGTTCGATAGCTTCAGGTGCCTTTTATGTTGAACTTAAAATAGAAGTACCTGTGGAGTCCGTAGAATTCAGAGTAAGTTATTTTTCCTCTCTCCCTCTCCCACTTTCCTTCCCCCTCTGGCAGAAATATGTTTTTTTTAATGATAATATAATACAGGCAGATGTCTGATATAGTTTTTACCACTAAAGAACTTGAGAGAAGAGAAGGAGCAACATTTTACTTTTTCTGCCGCCGTGCGTACACTTTTGCACGGGCCAGAAATTATAACCAGCGTGAAATACTGAATTTAACATGTATATTATGGTAAGTGGACAGTCAATAGTCAACAATCTTTCATATATTTCTGGCAAGAGAAAAGGAATGGCTGTCTCAAACAAAGTTTAAGGGCAACCAAAATACTGAGCTGTTGTCAATAATCCAAAATTCATAGAAGATCCAAAGGAGTGCACACGCATTTGAGATGAAGAAAGATGTCACAACACTGTCTGTCTGTTGTATGTTGCCTAATGAAGAACTTTACAGATTTCAAAGCCTGGCACAGTCTTGTAACATTTTGGTCAATCCTTAATAAAGGGGTTTCCCAGCTATGGATTTTGGATTTTTCCCCCATGGATGAACCTGGTTATGATAGTGTTTGTGACTCTAGTAAGTATTTGATTTATAGGTTTTGAATGTTTGAGAAAAGCTTATGATTAGCATGTCCATTTGATAGTAAGTTCTGGTCATATCAAGAGGACTCATTTCTAAGTAATTGGCAACTCTCTGACCCCAGAATGGTGAATTCCTAGGGATGTTTACACAGTAAGACCCAGTGTCTTCAGTAGAGCCTAATTGTCATTTAAGCTACAAAGGATTATAGCTTTAGGACAGTAGTCAAAGATGCTTAGTTTCCATGGTTGAAATGAAATAATTTGTCTTGCACAATTGCTGTGTGAAATTGGTAAATACTAGTAGTTCCATACTGGACTATGGAAATTTGGGGGTTTCAGGCTTTTATTCTTTGTCATTTATATTTCTTATTCAACAGCTGAAAGGTTATTGTCTTTCCTTTTGCAATCAGAATACTAGAGAAAACAGCTCAAAAAACTTAATTCTCCTCTGAAATACATATAAAAAGCAGCAGGTATGTAAGAGAATAACAATGAAGTAACATTATAAGTCTCTATGTCACAAGAGCTTTTTTTCAGACATCTTTTGTCTTTAGTGAATATCCTGTGTTGCTAATTAGCATTTTCATGTGAACCCAGTGAGATGTTGATGAAATTGTCACAGTTCAGTAGTCATAGGTAAGCCCTAATTGTCATAACACCTAACTCATAGGAGGAAACATAGCACTTATCTCCTTGGATGCTGTATCTGTAATCAATTTTGCTAATGAAGCAGTTGGCTCTTTTGTCAGGAGCCTGTCCCTTGCATTTTATGTTCGAAAGCCAAGACCAAAAATGCTGCAGTATAAAAAAAACATTTCTGGAAATACAGATCAAAACAAAGGAGAAAGCAGAAAGATATCTTTGCAAAATGTCATCTCTGGCAGCAGGAACGTTTTGCAAAGAAATCTTTCTGCTCAAAGTTCAGTCGTTTCTGCTGTTTCTTGAAACGTTTAAGGCATTAAAAGGCCATGTTGCTATTATAGAAATGTATTGTGTAAATGTGGCTACAGTATCTCTAAAGCTGTATGTGGCACAGGACCCGGATATTTGAGGGACCATCTGTCTCCAAATATTTTTGCCCACCTTACAAAATCCAGGACATGCCAACCCTGCCTGATTTTGTAAGGTGGGCAGAAATATTTTGAATTTTGAGCCATGCACAGTAGCAGGGCAGAAGGGAAAAAGAAGGAGGCTTTTATGTAGGGGATAATAAAAGGGGAGAACTCATGGATCCCATCAGTAAAACAATCCTGTCTTATGGGATCCAGGAGGTGTGCCTTCTTTGTTACCATGCCTCTCCTGTGGAACAAGATCTGGACCGCCCTGATCCTGCTGACCCAGTTCTTTTTTCAGGAACAGGGTGCAGATATTGTGTGAATGTGACTAAATGTGGGTAATGGGAGTTATTTCTCCCCAGCACAGTGTGTTTTATGATATGTTATTTGTAATTTGATGTTTTTAACTTTTTGTAAGCTTCCCAGAATTGCATGCTAAATGGCCTTAAAATTGAAATAATGATACTGCTGTTATTGTTATTATTACTATTATAAAACATGCAAACACATTCCCTTCCTATTCCTGGCTACAGGTAGACGGAGACAAACTCCTGAAAGAAGACGACTCTTACCAAGTCAGGCTAACAAGGTTTTATTGTAATAAGACCTCTCCAAAAAGGCAAACAAAGCACAACAACACAGGTCATGAAATAGGGCTGATCATTATGAGGAGGATCTTTGATTTGTTGAACTCAAAACCTAATCTGATTTTTAGGCTAAGGGGAACTGATAGTTTTATCACGTAAGCCTGGCAGAGAGGGTACCCCTAGCAACATAACCTTTTGTCTCATCTACTTCCCCCTGTCATCCCCCTATGACAGTGTTTCTCAACCTTGGCAACCCTCAGATGTGTGGACTTCAACTCCCAGAATCCCCAGCCAGCAAGGGAATTCTGGGAGTCTGGGTGTTCTGAAGTCCACACATCTGAAAGTTGCCAAGGTTGAGAAACACTGCCCTATGATAATAAATTCCACTTTGGAACACCAAAAAAGGACAAGATACATTCTCTATGCAGTAGTATTGATATTATGTAATAATTAAGAGCCATGGAGAAAGCCTGCTATCATCCTCTCTTGACGATACCTTCCTTCTGCTGAGGACTGTTGTTCCACCCGCAGCAGTACTACTTCTTTTAGTCTTCTCCTCTGTTGGAGGTTAGCAACTATCAGGGCTATTTGTTCTTTTGATGTTAGCGTACAAAAGAAGGATACTGTATTGTATTTTTGCTAAATTATATACATAGATTTTTCAACCAGGCAATGCATTGTCTTCCAGCACTGTATTTCCCCTGGCTCTTTTCTTGGATTGAAGTGCTCCAGATGTTTTGGGATTGCACCTGGTGCCTATTACTATTGGTACTATCCTTGCTTTCTTTTGCCACAGTTGTTCCCTTTTGCCACAAATGTATATGCTGCCAACTCCCAGCAACTCTGGGCAGTTGAATCTTAAATGAGTCTTAAATATTCCCATTCCCTTTTCATGATGGTATTCATAATTCCTTATGTTTACCCATTCTTTGGAGGACTGTTTCATTTCGTGCATGTGCTGCGCATGATATTTTAAGTGCTGTAATTTCAAGGTCTTTTGTCCTCCTGGTTGTCACTTGGGTCATTCTCCAGGCTTCTATTTCATATAAAAGAATTGGCAACACATAACCTCATACAATCCACCACCAAATTCTGTCTTAAGTTCTGAGAGCAAAACCTTTTTTTAAAAAAAAACTACTCTCGCCTGTTCTATCCTATTTCTTTTTTCCATGCTGTGATCACATCTATCATCCGAAATATGGCCCAAATATTTATATTGTCACATCCTCTGCACTTGTTTTCCTGGTAACGTTCAAGGATTTTATTTTACTGATAACCATTATCTTTATTTTCTTCTGACTGCTTTATTTTTTCACAGTGTTTGTTTTAGATAGAATAGTAAACATAGATATTAGCCAATCACATGGAATAATCCCTGCATCATAGATTTCATTGAATACTTTTGTTAAAATGTCTACGCCAATTGTATTCTTTAGTTTTAATATTTCTCCACAAATGCTATCAGGTTCTGCTCCCTTGCCATTTTCAAAGTTTTAGTTGCTTGTATTGCTTTTTTTGTACATATATTAGGTCCTATATCTGCATCTACATAATTATGGTGTGGGGCTCTATTGTAATTTCACATGTCTTAGAATTTATTAATTACTACTGATAGATCCCAAGGTTGAAAATGCCGCAATGTCATAATTGTAAACACAGCTACTGAGCTTTTGTAGGCAGGTAATATTTGTTCTTTAAAGGGGAAAAATATTTTTTTTTAAAAAATAATTTTCTTCTACTAATTGAGTCTAGGCGTCCATCCAAATTTTTTATAGAACACATTTTTAATTAATTCTGAGATCTGGATTACCCCATTGTGTCAACTTGGCATGAGAAAAAGGATCAAAATGCTATTATCTAGAAATAACATATCACAGTCTTCAAATCAATGTAATAATAAGAGGAACAATTTGAAACCAGTTATATTTTGACCCCAAACATATCTGCAGGTGATTCCCAGGGATATAGTCTCCTAGATGGTAAGTTATATAAAGTATTGGTAACTACATATTGTTCTTCACAGAATTATATTCGATGGTCATCATGTTAATTTCTAATATCTAAGAACTATTCACCTGATCTTCATTTTTATCCTTTCCAAATTTGTTCTGAAACCCTCATTAAGAAGATGTCTCTGAATGAATATTTTCATTACAGTTCCTGACCAGGACTGCAAACAAAAACACATTAAAAATAAAAAGTTAAAACAAAACAAGATAAAATATTATAATTGGTGGTGGGTTCATTGGTGGGCAATCAAAGTCTGCCTAATTTTACAGGCAGCATAAGAAAATGTAGCTACATTCAAGGAAACTAAATCATACTGATCTGATAACAACAAATGTACATAAAAAAGATAAGTATTTTCCGGGTGTTTTACCAGGTAAGGAGTTATAAGGTGGGTCCTTGAGTCCATATAGAGGGTACAGTATAGCAGGACATCTGTAGTTTCAACAGCCCCTTGTCCACAGGGGCACAGT